ATGGGTACAACTATCTGTGTGTCAATCAGACAATGCATGAAGGTCACGGACCGGCTGTTAGCAAATGGCATCGCACTGAAGCCTCATTACACGCGCGAAGATGAAGCCACGCAACTAGCCGTACCATAGCATCTTCGTACCTGCGTCTACGAGGTACGATCTATAAAACCGGTTCTATGACTTCGGTCGTTCAGCCTTGAAAAGAGCCTTGGATAAAGTCAAAAGTCAACCGTCGTCAGCAAACCCTAATGACGTTTGACCTTTGTGCAAGCGAAGCATGTATCCCAGGGCCCGGAATAAATTCGCTTCCCAGCCCAAACCTGCGGACATTGCGCAGACGCCCAGGCCTCCTGTCCAGACTTCTTGAGACTGTCGTATGCAACTTGGAATACGTACCCGAACCTCGGTCATTCAAGGTGGCAGTTGATCCACTTTTTCTCGTCGCTTCTCTACGATACTGGGAAAAGCTCGGACCGTGATTAATCCTCCTTCAATTCCGGACCATGAGACAATGGCTGCGGAGGGAACGGAAATTGCTTTTGCCTTTGGCTCCCAGTTTTGCTGGACCAGGACTCGACTTTTTCCCCGCTACCACACAGCCGGGTAGGAGGCCCGTCGACGTTTGCTCCGGAATGACCCTTGATCTTTTCCGACCATGTTCTTGCTGATCGCACTTGGCTGAATCATGGGCCAAAGCCTCGGTTGTTAATCCTCTCGGCGCTCTTACCACAAATGTGGAGGTGTGCCTGTACGGACTAAATCGAACAAAGAGAATGTGGGTTCAGCGCGTGGACACGATGTGAAGAGGTGCGTTTTTCTGCTTATTCCCAGCAGCGGCTACTGCATGGGCTCAAGGGTCTCTGTGGAGAGGCGTGCGTAAAAATCGCTAGTTCGCAACGACCACGTTAGTCGAATTCAGCGTAGTTACGTACACGAGCTGGTGGTCACCACGTTTACAAGTTTCAGCGACACTCTCGAACCACTCGGCAGCCGCAAACTTCATGCGCGCAGACATTCAAAGTTACACACATGGACGCGCAAGCCACTGCAGCCCTATGCTCGAACGACATACTGGCAGCACGATGTTACATCATTTGGTGACACAAGTTCAGGGTTTCTCGAAGGATTCAGAGGCGTGTCTAGGCATCCAATCGCGCATTTCTCCCATGCAGGATACTGGGGCACAAGAGGTTTGTCCTGTCACAGTTAGGCGTGCTGGCGGGATGTCTTCCGGCAGTAGTACTGTATCCACCCAGATCCTCAGCATCATCATCATCGGTCTGCACACCAGCTTGTTTTCATCACAATCCACCACGATTGCCAGCTTCTTAGCGTCGCAAAAGCCGGCCGTTGCCGTATGACAGTTATCGGCATCTAACCCCTGCAACGGAAGGTTGCAACGAGTGTCGCAATCGCGTTCGTGCGCGTCTGCAGGGCAAAGCTGAAGGAACATGCACGCAAGGTTGGGAACGCTACCTTCCCCATCGCTCGACTGACGCATACCCAACCGCAAGAGTCACTGGCCTGTTACTCATGGAAAATTCACGCGTGTAAGGCCGCGGAACTGAACCCTGTCAGATCCGCCTATCCGTGCTTCCTGTCAGTCATTGAGCGCGCACCGTACCTCCCGTTCCGCTGGGTTTTGACGCGGTTTCGACGATCCAGGCCTCCTTTGCGAACATCAAGCATAAACGCCTGCAACCACCCTGGCGGCCATGGACGCCTAGAGGATTTTCGAGACATACAACGAGTCGGAAAGCATGCAGCCACTACATTTTCACACACCACCCAATAGCCTTTCCCTCGCGTCTCTGACCCAACCACCACGACTGTCAAACAATCTAAACTGCATACCAACAAAGCAGCGTGACTTGCACACAATGCGCTCATGCTGCACCGCGCCGCGAGGCCACAGCTGCAGCATTAGCCGTCCATCTTTTAAAGTCCACTTTAACATCCTTCCATCCGATCCGGGCAGGATTTCCGAGCTACGACCCAATCGAACGTATAGATGAACAGCACACACGACCGGCATTAGGCAAGCAACTCAAAGACTCTGATCGCTGGGTCCGCTGCAAACGCATCATGCGCGGTCGGACCTCTCTCGCGTTTTTGCTGCTCGTGTGTCATCACATATAGGCAGCGCGTGCTGCACTCCAGACTCTTGGCTTCACGCATGGCGCTATTGCGCAAACTTACATCCGCGCGCTATGGCATCTACGCTTTGGTTGCATCTCCGGACTGGCGGTTTGTGGAGTACCTGCATGCCTGTTCACATAGCTATAGGCGGGCAGGGCTATGTTGTGCATGCGCCTTCCCATTATAACATGGCTGAACCATAGGGTAGGTAAGATGGACGGTATGCGAGTCATTTCGGCGGATGGAAGCCTTCCCGGTGTCAGTGGATGCTATGGGTCGATCGAGATATGTACTCATGAAGAGTGAAGCTGTGTCTTGCATCGCATCATGCACCGCTACTACGAGATAGGAAGACCACGATGACCTTCCTCTAGCTTATCCCTCAAGACGGATATCCGCGCAACTTCCCCGTTGCCCCCTAACCACCTACGTCTCTCTCTACTACGGAGTAACCAACCCCGATAAAGACCTTCCCTTACGCCTACAATTCCAAAAAGACTCCAGCAAAAGACGGTCCGAATAGCAAGCGGAACTAGTACATGTCAAATAGTGCTTGATGTGGGTTGCAGACTAGATGCTCTTCCACCGGCTGCTCTGCTACAGTAACCGGTGCGGCGTGCCCTAGGTTTGAGCTAGCTGCTGGCTGCCTACTGTACGCCTGCTGATCACTACAGATGCGTAAAGGCTTGTTTGGATGTTGAAACAGAGTCTGGAGCTAGAAGAATGCCGGTAGCTTACATGCGTATTCGCTAAGGTGTCTTGGTGTGATGGAGAGTATTCATGCGCAGAGGGAGATGTGCCCTATCAAGACGATGGGGATGGTCACTGAGGATGGTGCTACGGATTGTAGGCGCTGTGTCTCGCGCAGACGCAGCGTAGCAAGAGAGAGAGATCCATTTTGCTGAAGTGAGACTGTGAGACAGTTGAACCTTGGCGGAAGTGGAGAGCAGATGCAGGCAAGATCCTATCGAGTACGAGGAGATAGGCCAAGAATAGAGCCTACGTTGGCTCGTAGGGTTCACAAGGAAGCGTATGCTACGTAGCGCACACCTCAATCTTAGAATACCATCCTAAAGTAGTTTGAACTCGTATTTACATATGCGCACCGTTGATACAAATCCCTCAGGCTTCCTTCTTTGTATGTACGAAAGCGAACAAGGAGAACGTATAGAAGATATGCGAAAGCCACATAGTATCTAGACCTTATTCGTGTCTTGTCTTTCCGTTGACTTTGCCAACTACCAATGCATGTTACTATCTTTCAGGAACTCGTGTCTCGTCGTAACGATCTGAAAAGCTGATACTCTGGCTCCTTCTCGTGCAACTACGCACTGCAGTGGGATGCCACTGTCCTTGCGTGAGGACGGCAGGCCCATCCAGTTGATCTAGAAGCTACTATGCACGGAAACGACTTATGAGCGATCAAAAAGCCTGACAGACCTCACAAAGCTCTTCTTGAATTGATGTCAAAGCTACGAAGAGGCCAAGGGAATAGATTATCCTCAATGAAGTGAAAATAAGCTCTTACCAGATTAGTGGAAGACGGAAAAAGGAACTCATTATCTAAAAGCAAATCAATACGACGACTACATATAGCTAGCATAGGACTACGTTTGTCCGACATGTCTCTGCCGTTGTTGCGTCGGTGTCGTGCTCGTAGTTGTGCATCATTTTCGAAAAAGCCCAAAAAAGCATACTTCATCACCACCATACCTTCCCCTCCCTCCTAGGACATGTACCACACGCAAACAAAAAGGAAAGCCCGACGTGGGGGTCGAACCCACAACCTTGAGATAACCAATCGAGTCTTTAGGACGTGAAAGCTAAGAGTCTCACGCTCTACCGATTGAGCTAGCCGGGCGATTTGATGAAATCTGGTGATTTGATAGAGACTTTGAAAATTATGACGATCGTATACACAGATTTGTGCTATAAGAGCACTACGAAGGTACCGAAAAGATTCTCTTTTGGTTTTGATGTGTCGGTGGTACATCTTGGGCTGCAAAGTGGGGTAGAAGGAAAAAAACTGCAGTGGGCCGAACCACGCCGCAACGAAGCAAGGGAATGCATTGCAACACCAGAACAGCACCAACGATGCTACCCAAAGGCTCTCTTTGAAGACGACAAACAGTTTTGATGGTTGAAGTCCAAGAAAGGAGAAATCGGGGTATACTTGGCTTTGACGCGCATGTATGCTAGTAGGTCCTCTCCTTGCGACTATCTAATAATTTTTTTATCCCAATATGAGAGGATAGTATCTACGCTTCACGCTGCCTAAGTATCCAAACCCACAAGTTAACTATAACGGCTAAGGTTATGGATACTCCTATCTATATTATGTTTAACAAAATGTGAGTGATATGCGCCACAAATTTTGCTGTCCCGCGGTGAACGAAACAAAGGACCATTATCGTAGTAGCTACATCTCACTTGATTCTTGCATCCCGCGAGGCGGAGAGGATCAGGATTAGATCGGGCAACTCGAAGTGACCATTGCCCTTAACGCGACATGGAAGACATTAAGCTATAATATTTACTACTGTATCGATTGCACGCTCGTGATACAAGCTTCGCGTATGTATCGTTGCTAGGCTATTCATTATTACATTATTAATCGAGAGCTAAACGTTTATCAAGCTATCTTTCGCTAACACAACGCCGTCATAAGCAGAGTGGCTGAATCCCATCGTAATATACAATCTATGCGAACGATTAACATCGAAGGTCATACTTGCGAGAGTGCAGTCCTTGTGTCATGTGATAGATCCAAACGCCCTCTCTAAAACTCATTTCTTGCGCCGCCGCATTCCGTGACCTTTTCGACAGGCCTGAATCCACCAACGAATACCTGTGAAGAAAGTTCACAAGTTCATTCCATCCCAATCACCCTGCGTCGGCCCTCCGAACCGCTCCCGCCGTAGCCTATCATTCTCCTCAATCAACGCATCCCTCTCCTTCTCAATACTCTGAATATACTCAATCGCGCTCGCCAAGATCATCGCCTTACTCGGCTTCGGCTGCCCAACCACTCCCGCCTCCTCGCTCTGCCTCAATATCGGCACCGACTGTCTCAGCCTCTCCAGTTCAGAATTGAGCCCCTCTCGATACTTGCGCTCAACCTGATTATGCGGTAACCGTTTCGAGCGCTGATACTTTAGAGTCGGAGAAGACAGGTCTTGGCTGTCGGTGGTATTGCGGTCCATCTTCGGGCAACCCCGCTTCCTCGTGGGGCGTTTGGGGGTGGATGATTCGGAGGCAGAGGTTGGCGAGGATGGGGATTCGTGCTTTAGCATGTGTGGGGAGAGAGATGGCGATATGAGCGGTTGCGGCGCGTCTCCACCGTGCGACGAGGGTTGCGACGTTGTGCTTGTGGGGGAGATACAGTCTGGTTCGTTCGGTTGTGGTGGCCTTGTGTTTGTAGTGAAGTCGAACGGGTATGGCTCGAATGGACTGGGGTGTATGGTGTTGAATGTTTGCGTCATAGTCTGGTTATTGTCCCTGGTCGATATGCTGGCCCTGAAAAACGTCGCATTGCAATCTTCTTCTGACTTCGATGTCGTACCGGATGCACTCTGAACGGATGTGAGGGTTTGATTGAAGAATGTATCGGAGTCGAAGAAGGTATTCAGCGAGTCGTCTGGGCCTGGCCCGCCAAGGTAAGGATTGTCGAAGTAGTTGGTGTACGGCATGGTGTTCTGAGGTGGAGAATGTTCGGTACGTTCGGTCTTGGTTCCATGCGCATCCCTCCGGAAGTTCATTCAGACTGTGTCGACTCGTGTATCGGTGGACGTGTTCGTTGCTGTTTGGCGGTTGATGTATCGGTGTCGCTGGGAATGACGAAAGGCCTGGTATTATAAGAATACGAGGACGTAATTGTATCGACGATTCGAGAACTGCACACCCAACAGAGTAGGTAATAGGTCCTCGTGACCTGCTGGGAATCCACCACTAAGGTTGATCAGGTTCCGGTGTAGTGGCTCAGTACAGTCAAGATGCTTCCAGTAGCTGTACGGTAAACCCAAAATCGCAAGTTAGTTGTGGATCCGTCCTACCCTCAACCGTTATTGGCACGGCTAAGTAAGCCTTCCGCTTCCGCGAGTTTCACTGCAACGTCTGCTACTCATTCAAAGGGTCGAGTTTTTACAATGACTGCAAACGTCGAACGATAAGCACCTCATCGGCACTGTCCGGTAGGAGCAGCATCTCGTGTAGTCCCGGGACGAGCTCCACTACGCCGAAAGTCGGTTTCCGCACATGCTCCGATCCCGAGTTTCCGATATGACTCTGAAGCCGCATTGCAAAGACCGCGATGTTCGTTTACGTGCGTACAACCTAATTTACCCTGTTGATCCCGGCAAGGCCGCGAATTGCGGTCTCAGAATGTACTCAACAAAGCCATGATGCAGGATCTGATTTGCTTTCGCTTGTATGCGGCTAACTCGGGACGGATCGTATAAACTATCTGCGATGCCGGATGGCTTTCTCACGGTATGATTACTGGCTTGCTTTATTAGCAGATGTTTTGCGGTACCGATCACAAGGTAAATGTCAGTAAAAGATCCCTAAAGCCTCATTTTTGCCAACGGTAGATTCCCGGATGCATGCGGATGGAACGCGTTGCATCTAGATACAACAAGTGAGTTCGCTTACTCCTTGGTATTGCATCCTTCCAAGGTTGTGCTGCCCGATGATGTTAGAGGTTTTCTCCGAGCACCTGTCATGGTACCATATCTAAGCATCGGCGTGCGCCAACGGGCATCTCCGCTGTTGTAGCAATCGAGGGGAATAGCCCGGGCTTAACGAGAGAGGCTGAAAAAGTCGAGAAGTATTTGCGGTGCACAGTGCGCATGTGGCTATGTTGAGGTTGGTGCAAGGCAGCTCGTGAGAGTGGCGTGATACTTGTCGGCAAGGCCCGAAGTAGTAAGTGTAGCCGGCAAGGATAGGTATCCATAACTCGTGGCCATCGCGTTTTTCTGCGACCTTGGCGAGTGCAGCAAAGAATAGTAATCCTGCACGACGCTCCTCCACAGAAGCCAAAGACGTGTACAGACTGACAGCGAGCCGCAGTATTATCTCGCAGCCGAAGTTGTAGCTACCATGGCAAACGAAGAGTACCTAGTTATGGTAGCAGTGTTTGAGCATCACCACTAACAATAGACATGGGACATAGTGGATGTTTCTTCCATTCATGAAGGTAATGTTGCTGCCTACAAACATGGTGTGTTTGTTGATTGTAGACACTCGCGATTTATTGAGGTCACAGCTTCTCAACCCCGCTACCCCTCAACGCGCGGACTGAAGCATGAAGCTCCCTGCCTCCGCCATGACAACACCAACAACATCAACAACGCCTAATCGCGTCAAGACACGCTTCCTCATCATCTCAGATACGCATACTAGAGCTCCTCTCGATAACATCGCAGATGATGAGGCTGCCTTCCGCCCGCCACTGCCCCCGGCAGATGTGCTTCTTCACTGCGGCGACCTGACCATGATCGGTCATCTGGACGAATATGAAAAGACTCTGGACATGCTGGAAAGCATAGATGCGGGCTTGAAGCTTGTCATAGCTGGAAATCACGACATTACTCTGGATGAGGAGTATTACGCCCGAAAAGGCGAATACATGCACAGAGGAGACAGATACGACAAAGACCTACCCGCCAAAGCTCGAGAGATGTTGAAGGGCGAGCGGGCGCGGAAAGCAGGTGTAACGTACCTGGAAGAAGGAACGCATACATTCCAGCTTCAAAACGGGGCCAACCTGAGGGTATGCACATTGCTAGACAGTCGACAATTCCATCTGAAGCTAACAACCCCAGGTCTACGCGTCCCCCTACCAACCAGAATTCTGCGACTACGCCTTCCCCTACTTCCGCAACGAAGACCGCTACAACCCTCCCCATCAATGCACACCGAACGCCAAACCCATCGCCGAGAACCCCGTCCCAGACTTTCCCAACATCGATATCATGATGACCCACGGACCGCCCATGGGCGTCATGGACGCGACAACATCAGGACAGCACGTCGGCTGCGACCACCTACTGCGCGCTGCTCGACGCTGCAAACCCCGGCTTCATTGCTTTGGGCATATACATGAGGGATGGGGCGCGCAGAAAGTGCGGTGGAACAACAAGGGGGGGCTGGATGTCAGGATTGAAGAGCATATCGAAGATGTGGAGAGTGTGGATGTTGATCAGGATGCGGCTAGGGAGAGGAGGGCGGCTACTGTTGATATCGGCGAGGGTAGCGATACGGCGGTTGAGTTTGGGCGGGAGACTTTGATGGTTAATGCGAGTATTATGAGCGTGACGTATAAGCCGTGGAACGCGCCTTGGCTTGTGGATCTGGACCTCGAAATGGCCAGTTGATCCAGCATGGCTGTACGGAGTAGACAGGAAAAAGCTTCAGAAGTATGCATACATCACGAAGAATGAGTAGGCATCAATGGGACGAACCAACTACTGTCATGCGCGATATCGCCATTGTGGTTTCCAGACAGCGATTGATCTATAGCAGCCAGCTCAAACGTCGTACTGCGATGACCTCTTCGCGTTCCCTCTAAAGTTCGTCATTGTATCTCACAGGTCTCACACAGGCCGAGCAGTCTTGAGTCGCAGCTAGCGAAGCCATATGCATGCATTTCTTATGCAGCGTAGACATGTCAACTATCGTACATCGTAAAGCTCATCTTCGAGCAAGGTAGAAGTATCGTGAAAAGAACAAGGTAACAAAAGAAGCGCGCTTAGTTACCAACCTGAATCGCGTAGCCACCATCGACAGTGACAGTCTGACCATTGAGGTACTGACAGCCAACAGCAAACAAAATCGCCGCAGCCATGTCCTGATCCTTACCCGGCCTCTGCGCAGGAAGACCCTCCTTATGCTCCTTCGGCATCTCACTCTTCTGGTTATCATCCCTGCTCTCCTGGGTGGTCATCTCCGAAGGGAACACACCGGGTGCGATGGAGTTAACCCTAACCTTGATCCCGTTCTTCGCAATCTCAGACGCGAGCAACTTGTTGAGGTGTATCGCAGCGCCTTTGCTGGAGTTGTATGCAAAGTGGCCTTGCGAAATCTTGATGTGACCGGAGATGGAGGAGATGTTGATGATGGTACCGGAGTAGCCGGGGTGTGTCTCGGTGGACTTTTGGAGCAGAGGCAGGAAGGCTGTGGACATGAGGAAGGGGCCGACGACGTTGGTTTGGTAGACGTCTAGCCATTCTTGCTCGGTTGTGCCGTCGAAGAGCTTGGAGACGAGGTCTTCGGCGGAGCCTTTTACTTCGGTCTTACCGGGGGCGATGCCGGCGTTGTTGACTGGGGGTGTTAGTTGGCGTTGCACAAGATAGTAATGGGTGGTGGAGAGCTTACCGAGGACGCAGAGGCACTTCTCTTTTGACTCAATCTCCTTCTTGATCTTGCTGTGAGGTGATTAGTACTCCGTTCTCCATCAAACATCGTTGGCAACGTACGATACACCGTCCTTGGTGCTGCAGTCTCCGACGATGGGGATGATCTAGCGACTGTTAGATTATATCCCTCATAAATTCACCGTGTCGAAGACTTACCTGTCCTGCAATGTTCTGGCCATGCACCTCAACAACCTTCTCGAGCTTCTCCTCCGTCCGTCCAACAATGTAAACCTTAGCACCATTGACAGCAAGCGTCTGTGTGATCATGAGACCAATCCCAGAGCCACCACCAGTAACGAGAACGACCTTGTCCTTGACATCAAAGACCTGGCCCATCTGGAGTTCGGCGTTGTTGGTAGGAGCCATGTTTGCGTGGTTGCGCTGTTGATTCTGCGGTTGGATTTGATTTGTGATTTGTTTCGTGCGCTCAATTGATTGAATGCGATTTGGAAGTGCAGAGAATGAAGAGGGGAAATTTCGCGTCGCAGAAGTCGTGATATAGCGGGTAAACGGTCTGACGTCACGGTATGAGCACCGCGTTGCGAAGCGCGTCAATGTGACGTGTGGGATCTTGAGCGACATGGCGAAAACGAAATTCCAGAATTAAAAGACCAGAAATTTAAGTGGAACAACTGAAAGAAAAACCAGAGTTCGACTGAGGGGGGATGCACGCAGAATCGCGATTCAAACGCGTTGAAGAGGGTTGGGAATGATGCAGGTCATGATTGCATCACTGTGGTGCGGGAGATCGACCCGCACGCGGTGTCACGTTTTTCCCTATCTTCTTGACATAGTCGAAGTCTCCATCGACATATCATGTTTGGAAGGCCTGATTCCATGAGTTATACAGCATCGAAAAACGATCGCGGGATAATCTATCAATACCACTGAAGACACTGGTACCTAGCAATCGTACATATTCTACATGAGCAACACAGCTCTCAGCATGCCCCCAAGCTGCTCGGGAAATGTGGCTCTAAACTAGGAGAATAGCGAAACTGGGATACTAAAAGGTTTTGGTAAGAAGAATTGATGTTGAGGTGTCAATCATAAAGAAGTCTTGGGATGGGCTAACAGTCGATTCTTTTTCATGCATACTATGCTTCCCATCCAGCATTCCACATCTCAATACAAGCGTCCCCCATATCCCATATTTACTCGGTTGCAGGTGCCTTGAGCACCTCATCAAGCCTAACAACCGTCGCCGAAAACGGCGTATGCAACCCTTCCGCCCTACCATCATACGTCTCGCCCCCATAAACCAACAGATGATTCGGCCTCTTCGCAAAAATCTGGATAGCGCGCGAATACACCGCACCAGCAGGCGTCATGTGTTCCTCCCA